GTCACATATCTGCATTTCTATGCCAGTCTGGGGGAAATAATGTCTTAAAAGCAAAGCTCAAACGCACTGCAGCTATGAGCAAGATTTGGGGGGTGAGTGGGGGCATTTCGGTGCCCCTCAAATTATGCCATTTAGACAACCACATAGATGTTCCACCTCAGAAGCTACTGATCTGCTCTGCACACAATGGAGCTGGGCTCTGAAAGATGCCCGAGCCCTCAAACATCTGTTTACACCAGAAGTAAGCCTTAATCAAAGTCAAATTTGACAATGTCACACACAGTCTCAGAACAGATTCCCTCACATTTGTCTAATTGTGTATTATACATTTTTTTTTAAAGAAAGAAATGGGTCAGTTGATGTCGTGTTCATGAGAAAAGACCCCAAACTGGAGATCAAAATGCGTTCAATTCAGACTGGGGGGTCGAGATGCATTTATGTATCTTCCGGATGGAAAAAAAAAATCTATCAATTCTGTCTAGGCTTCTTTTAGGATGACTGCGTCTGATGCCTTTAAGCAAGATCAATAAGAAGAAATTCTATTCAAATAACCCTCCCTGTTCCAAAAAGCTGAGAAAACTTGGCTCTTTTCTCTATGTGGACAACTTGCTATTTAAGGAAGGGACCGAGAGACTGAAGCGTCTTAAATCATTCACGTCTTGTCGTGGGAAATTTTACACTAACACGTGTATGTGGTGGGTTCATGTAATATGCAAACAATTACTGAATGTCTGTTTTTCTCATTCCTGCCCATTCCACCCCATCAGTCACCTAAGGAAACCTTGCTCATGAGTCCTTTCTCTCCAAACTGGCCGGATCAAACCTTCCATTGGTCAAAAAGTCACTGTATTGGCTTAAGAGGTCTACTTTTCCAATTTCTGCTGACTATTAATAAGCAAAAATCCTGTTTATGTCAACAAAGCATGCAATTAAGCAGAATGGGCAGTAATGTCAGTATGGACTCCAAAATCGAGATGTGCCTTGGGTCAATACTTCACAGTTGACCCATATGCCTTCCCAAACCTGAGAGCTGGCTAGAGAAACACCATCGCAACAGTGAGCAATACTCCCAGTTGTATTGGCTCCCCTGCTCTCTTTAATACTGTTTGATATGCTATTTCTTTTTTAACTTAAATCATGAGGGTAACCAAGGTTTGGTTTGGTTTCATTTCATTGAATAACTATGAGCTGGGCATTGGGACAGATGCAGCAAGTCCCTCTTCTCACTCACTTCTAACCTCATCCTCTCAAAAAGAACGTCATAGAACGTCTCCCTTCAAATCTAATCTTCACAACAGCTCTGGGAGGGACACAGCGGAGAAAATGGAACGGATTCAGAGAGGGGGAGTCACTTGTCCAAGGTCAACCAGCTCCTCAAAAATAGAACCAAAATTCAAATTCCCATCTGACTCCACAGTCAGTGATGGTGTCCCTCTTGCCTTCCAGAAACTCCCAAAATGAGGCCCTCGACTCACCAGCTGACCTCTACACCTGTCCCACTTCCTGGCCACAGGTGGGGGAAAGCTGAGACTTTGTTCACTCTCATCTTGAATGTGCGGGAGGGAGCGGGGGATGGGGGCTAAGATCCTACCAGGTCCTTACACCTTGTACCTGGGGAGGGTAGGCATCACCTTACCCACAAACCTACACACCGCGTTGAGCCAACTCCCCAACTCAGTTAAGCCCTTCTTTGGATGAGGACGTCTGACAAATAAGAGGCTATTTACGGTCTATTCGAGTCTATCCATCTTTGTGAACTGCCTGAGTTCTTTATGTCTTGTCCACCTTTCCTCCACCTGCTTCCTTCAGCCGATTCATGACTCCCACACTTTTGCCAAGAGGAATAGAAGGTATAGAAAGCAAGAGGCAAACACCATGGCTTGGGGGATTTTAGGAGCTCTGGTCAGGGTGACTGTGGCTTCTATCGGCTGACGTGAAGTCTGAAGGTGAGCTCTGCATTTCAAATATCCATTTTCGCTCTTGCACAAGCAAGATGATGGAGAGTCTCCATACCTTGTTTTGATCTTCCTAGGTCCTGTGTTAGACAGAGTAAGGAGTTCAGGACTACTACTAGAGGGATGACCGATGGTCTGTGGCCACTGATGGAGAATTCTGTCACAGCCACCATAGATCTGCTAACCATCCCCACATGCATCTGTGCCACTAAAGCCCATTTATGTCTTTGTCCTCTGGTTGTCTAACAAGTGCAAATGTCCACTCTGAATATTTCAGCTTTACAGCTGACATCAATACCAGCCATTGTGATATGTGCTTTTCCCACTGAAGAAAAAATTATACATTCGAGACCAGCGTTCGGAAAGGACAGAAATGCCTTCCACAAGTGCCACCGTCACAGATGGGGCTGGGACAGCCTCAGCTGGTCTGGCCAAGTCCGGAGGAAGGTACGAGGTAATTACGTACGAGAATGGCAAGGGGGTCTGTTGGCAAGTCCAGCCCAGACCACACCACTCGGCACCGGGGACCTCAGCAGAAGCGATTCTGTTACCTTTTCCTTTCCAAGCCCTCACCCTCTCTGCGGAGGCTCTCTGCCTCTTGACCTTTGGTGACCTTAGAATTTTCTGGCAGCCACTGGAACCAGGGATCATCTTTTCAGAAATCTGCTTGGCATCGTTCCGTGACTTATCTTTCAGGCCTCGTCACAATTATTCACGCTTTGGCAGTATCCTAGTTACAGTCACAGTGCTGCTCTTGGGCTGCCACTGAAGGTTACTCTGTCCCAGCCAATGGGGAAGAAAGGCGCCCGGTGCCTCAGGACCCTGGCTCTGGGAAGCATGCTCCCCATGAGGGCAGGGGCTTAAAGGCATCTGTTCAGAAAACCACTCTCAACCTCCAGTCCTTGCGAACAAGCATAGGTGGGGATAGCACAGTGGGAATCGGCCCCCAAATCACAGACAACTTGGCTTTGGAACGCATTCCAAGGCACAGTCGCTCTACACCTGGACACACGTTCATACAAACGCTAAGTGCTAACCTCCACCAGCTGCCTCTGGACGAGAGAGAGAGAGAGACCCTATCTTTCACCTCTCCATGGCAAATATTTTTCTGGTGTCACCTATTCTTTTTTTTTTTTTTTTTTCTTGTTAACATCCTGCTTCTATTCTGCAGCCTGTGCTTCCTGCTTTGTATATTTTAGGCTACTTTAGACATGACCTCACATCCTGGCCAATTGCACGGTGGCTGCTAATTGTGAGAGCTTTGCTAATGACCCATGCATCTATGTATGAGAGGACCAAGCACAAAGCAGCAAAATGCAGAAAGCAGTAGGTTAGCATGCCTAAGAACTGGGTTTCTGGAAGTAGACAGACTTGGGTTTCTATCTTGGACTACCTGTGTGGCCCAGGGCAACTTACTTAACCTCTCTGAGTCTTAGTTACCTCATCCGAATGAGGATCATAACAGCTCTTACTTCACAAGGTTGTCGTTAAAATTAACACTGGAGAATGCAGGGGCGACAGGTTGGCTCAGTTGGTTAAGGGTCCGACTCTTGATTTCGGCTCAGGTCATGATCTCAGGGTCCTAGAATCGAGCCCCACGTTGAGCCCTGCATAGGGCTCCACGTTCAATGGGGAGTCTGCTTGAGGATTCTCTCCTTCTCCCTCTGCCTCTCCCCCCTGCTCACGCGTGCTCTCTCAAATAAATAAATAAATCTTTAAAAAATATACTGGATAATGTATATAAACAACACAAGCTATCATTATTACTTATGTTTTCCAAATTATGGGCTAGCTTTCTCCCTCTAGGGTCTACATGTTCCTGAGATCCTCCCTAGCTATTCTGCTCCACATCTACTCTCCACCTGCCCGCCTCGTCTCCCCTGACCAATCACTTCCTCTAGGCAGTATTCCTTGACGAGGAGAATGGACACAATTATGCCTTTTTTTCCCTCTGTCGTTTTCTGTATCTCGTGCTTCAGGCAGATGTTCCCCACCTTGCACAGTGAATTTCTCCAAGGTCAGGAAGCCCCACCTTTCACCAGAGGCTCAGATAGCACATACCTCTAGAGCAGAATCCTATGGAAATGGCTAGACCTTTAGAACAAAAGGTGAAGCCCATCTCCCAAATCACACTTTTGCTCTCCTGGACTTGACAAAAGAGTCTCGTTCAGTTGCAAAATGGTTTGCTTGCTTACTAAGCCTTTTCTGTACAGTAGCCTCTCTGAAGCCCATCTGAAGGAATCACACAGAGTCAGGAAGCACTGACATTTCCCTCTTCACGGTGGTTCCAAAATCCAATCCTTCCCCATCTGCCAAGACACTCAGTCGTGCTCTGGTTAGTTCCCACATTACAGTATTTTCTATAAATCTCTCTCTTCAGAGCCCTGACCTCACCACTTCACTCTCTAACTCTGCTCTGCGCACAGCATCTCTGTCCCCTCTCTGTGACGTGGTCCCTTAAATCCCCCTTGGTCCCAAAAGAACTTTTCTACTTGCTCCCTCATCTGCCTCTGTTCCCGTAGACCACTAGGCCTTTAAGCTTTCTCCTGTTACTCAGATTTCTCAGAACCGTCAAGAAGTGGTCTCTCCTTGCCAGGTCTTCGGATTTCCGCATGGAACTTTCCAGACCACCTGTATATTAATGTTTCACACACTATTCTACTACATCATTTCTGCCTCTGTGGGTAACCAGTGCCTTGTGGACGGTGATCATCTGTTTAAACTGAAACCCTGTCATTTGTTTTGGCAGTTATATTTATGAGCCTGTGTGCTGAAACCCTGTGGCACAAATATTAAATAATAATACATCTTGGGTGGAAAGAAAAAAAAAAAAAACAACCCATGCATGTTAACTGACAACTTCTTCTGAAGATATCAGGTAAATCCAACCATGAAATTTGGTACTAGTTAACTTTAAAATAGGAGGAAAAGCATGGATTGCTCAACAGGTAGACGCTAAAGCAGAATTACAATTTGCATTTTTACACCCTCTTGCTTCAAGAAATGCAACAGCTGAGAAGTAAAGAGTGTTAAAAGAAACTTGGGCTGGGTGGCAATTTCCTTGGAATCAAATCCTAATGCCTGACAATGTCTCTCTCCTAAACAGTTTTTAGCCTCTACGAAGAAAGACTCCAAATAATAGCGATACTATATAAATGAGAACAATTCTGGACAATGACACTGCTCAATTTTAAGCATTCTGTGAATTTCCTATTACATCAGTTTCATGATTCAGCATTTTCGATTTCACTTATTTACAGTAATATATGGCGAGGTAACCCAAGCTTTCTGCAGGATCCTGGAACATAAGGTAGGCTGGACAGGAAGGGTGTCGCCTTCAGTTAAATTTATTATTGTTTGGGAGAATTCAAAGCAGAAGAAAGAAGGCCATCAAAGGAACTGAGGAATATTCCCCCACCTTGTTCTGAGTGTTTAAATTATTCTGGTATTTTAAGTGAGCTGGTTTTGAAAAATAGGTTACTGCCATTTAGTAGATGACTGAAACCGAAGCCAAGAAGAGTGCAAATGGTAAACTGACGTGCCTAAGCCAAGCGTGTTCTCTGAAATGACAATGTTCAAGACGCAGCTAAAGTCACCACTCTGGCGGTAAGCGTGTTACAAAGAACTCGATTTCTTTCTGGCATCCGCAACTTGGCTGGAGTGACCACGGAGGAGTTGAAGAGCGCTGGAAACGCGAGGGTTCGTCGCGGGTGCGTTGGCAGAAAACGGTCCGGGCCATGAGGACCCGGCGGAAACTAAACGGAGGTTCGAGGCGGGCGGCGTTCGCCGAGAGAGAGAGACAGAGAGAGACAGAGAGAGACAGAGAGAGAGAGACACAGAGAGACAGAGAGGCGAAGTTGGGCACGGGAAGACAAGGAGCTGCGAGACTGTGAGGGAAGCCCAGGACCGGGAGGGAGGGGGCTGGAGAGCCGCGCGCGGCGGGTGGGGAGGAAACGCGGCTGGCGAGGCTCCAGGTGGAGCGGGGGACTGGAGGGGGTCTCGAGGGGGCACCTCAGCCGGGTCTGGAGCGCGTCTCGGGGGGAGAGGGACAGACACGAGCGAGAGCGCCGCGCCGCAAGTCCGGTCCACGCACCCCTCTCGGCGCCCCGGGTCCCCCATCCCAGGTGCCGGCGCGCCAGGGGCGCAGCGGCCAGGAAGCGAGCAAACTAGCAGCGCCGTACCGCCCGGAGAGGCGGAGGTCCCCGACCGCCCCCGCCCGCGTCCCCGGGGCCCCGCGCGGATAGGGGGGAGGACCCGGGCAGGGTCCGGCGCTCACCAGGTAGCAGAACAGGAGCAGAGCGCAGGCAGGGCGGCCGCCGAGGCCCGGGGGAACGCCGCCGCTCGGGGGGGCCATGGCTGCGGCCCGGGGACAGACCGCGGGCGGCGGGGGTTGTTGCTGCTGCTGCCGCGGCCACCCGAGCCCCGCGCGGCGCCGCTGCATAGCGAGGCCGCCCGGATCCGGGCCAGAGCAGGTCACCTGGTGCAGGGACCGGCCCCCGCCCGAGGCGCCACCTTCCTCCCCGCCCCCGGCCGGGCCGGCCGCCGCGCGCGGGGCCACCTGCCGCCGCCGCCGCCGGACCCGCCGCCGCCGCCACTGCCGCTCCCGCCGTCGCCGCCCCCGCAGCCCCAGCCGAGAGCCGGCTCCTCCCCGCCTCCCAGTGCCCGTCCCCTCCCTCCCCTCTGCCTTGCCGCCCAGCCCGCCTCCCCGCAGCTGCCCCCCCACCCCGACCCCGGCTACCACCTCCCGGGGCGGCCCCCGCAGGTGGGGACTGACCCCGGTCCCGCCCCTTGGCCGCCGCCCCCCGCCCGGTTCCCTCGGCTCCCGGCCCGCCCCCCCTTTTCCCTTTCTTCGCTCTCCTCCCCCGCCCCCCCTTCGTCGCTCTTCCTGTCCGCGAGCCCTCTCTCCCCTCCCTCCGTTTCCCCTTTTCTCTCTCCCCCGTCTCCCACTCGCGCCTTTCTTTTCCTCACCCCCTCTTTCTTCCACTTTCTGCCTTTTCTCCCAGTCTTTTCCTTCCCTCCCCTCCTTCCCCTTCTCGTTCCAGTCGCCCCTCCCGCCTTCTCCCGCTCCCACCCACTCCTCCTGCGGGTCCCGCAACCCAGTTCCCGACGGCGCAATGGGTTTTGTTTCGTCGCTTTTTGGGCGAGGGCGCCATTCCCGCTGGGCGCGGGGCGAGTGTGCCCCCTGCAGTTGCGCCACGCAGCGGCCCAGCTTCTGGTCCTTTAAGGATGGATTTTGACCCCGGCCAACCTCCACCTGTCCACCTGCAGGGGTGGGGCCGCCTCCCTGCGGGCACATTTTTAACCCAGGTTGCGCCCCGCCCTGCCGGCTGGTACGCGGCACGTTCTGGATGTTTCCCGAGGGTTTGTGCGGTGCCGCCGCCGCCGCCGCCGCCGCCGCCGCCGCCGCCGCCGCTGCCGCCGCTCCCGCCGCTCTTTGTTTTAATTGTCCAGAGTATTGGCGCCCAAAGAGGGTTTGCATTGGATTTGCCGTCCTGTGCCCTGGCTTCCACTTGGGACCGAAAAGAAAATGAATTAATTAGGTCAGTGCAATTGGACTGAGCTCTAAATGAAAGGGTGAGGCTCGTGAAGTGCACAAACACTTTTTTAAAAAATAAATCAGGCCCACCCTCGGTCTTGGGGGACCCGGGTTGGGACTGGCTGTTCGCGGTTAGGAGTCCTGCCGCCAGGCCAAGGGGCGCGGCTGGACCGCGGCTGGACCGTGAGACCTCCAGCTTGCGGCCAAGCTGGTGCTCTGGGAAGCGCGGGGCTGTTCAGACAACTGCTTGGGCCCCTAGCTGCTGCTGAGACAGTTAGCCCACCTTCGAAAGTTCTCAGAAGCTTCTCTTTGGCCCTGGTGGATTTGTGCGTATTGCAACTAATAACACGTGCGAGAGAGGAAGGATATGGCCCTTGCCCAGCCCTTGCCCTGTGGACGTGCCACCGCCGAAGGTCAAGTCCAAACAGGCAGCAGGGGAAGCTGGCAGTAAAGATGGGGTGCCCGGGGGTCGTGCCTGGATATGCCTTCAGCCATCTCAGTACAAGCCCGGCCAACTTAGCCACTCAGCTGAGTCATCCCTTTCTTTTTTAGGTCACCTGAGGGCTGTGGCCCTGGGTCAGGCTCTTGGCTTCGAGTCACTCAGCACAAGGTAATGCCTTCTATCAGTGGTTCTCAAAGTTCAGCCTGCATCCGAACCGCTGGGAGGACTTATGAAAACACACTTTGCGGGACAACCCCACTAGAATTTCAGGTTCAGTTGGCCCCGGATGAGGTTTGAAAAGCTGCCTTTCCAGCATGTTTCCAGAGGATGCTGCTGCTGGTCCACAGACCCCATTTCCAGATCCTGGCTTATAGAAAGGGTCATTCTGCTCCCATGTCATCCAGTAGCCACCCCATTAAAGCATCCTGAGGGTTTCTTTGTTTGACAGATGTCTCCAACACCCTGTCCCACTTCCGAAGACCCAAAGCACTTAAAATTCTCCTGTGTGATGTGGAAAATCATTTAGTCTATTGGGTGTCCAAGGGGATGAAAGGTTTGGTGGCTTTGTCCCAGATTGTGTCATATATATATATATATATATATATATATATATATATATATATATATTTTAGTCAGGTCAAAGTATAATCTATACATTTTAATGTATGTGGAAGGAAAATTGTTGGCCAGTTCCAGAAGATGGGGCTTCACAATATTTCTGGAATTTCCGCCTGTCTTCCTGGGCTTCTCTGGAGTTCTCTCCCCCTTCATTGCCCACAGACTCGGTTGGTCTTCAGGGAACGACATGGTTTCCTCAGGTTGTTTGTAATCAGGACTCATGGAATTGAAGTTTTAGAAGGCTGTGAGTTTGAATTTCCCTGACTGTAGTCACTGTGGAGGCACCCCATAGGGCATTGGGCTGTTTTTCACCTGGTATATCAAATCTCTGACTCACTAGGCTTCTCTTGGGCTCCTCCTGTGAGTCAGGCACCACCCAAGGCTCTAGAATCCAGAGGTGAGCAGGCGTCCCTTTCCGTGAGGAGTGGCAGGCGTGCAGAAGACTAACCATAACATAATTTGGTCCTCAGAAAGGGATATTCAGGTTGCTCTGTGGCCCAGGGCAGGGGGTGGTGGGATTGACTGATCAATTCCGGACTGGAGAGGGGCAGAAAGAGAGAAGGTCAGGATTTCTATTCACAGTGGTCTGTGACATTTTGATCCAGAAGCCAGAATCAGTTTTTGCCCTTGCCTCCTCTCCAGCTGTCTGTATCAGTAATTTGAAAGGTGTGGTCTGATCACAGAAGACCGTTCATTTGGGAAAATAGCGTTCTTTCCCGCCTTTACAATTTATTGTTTGAATTAAGTGTTCGTGCTCCACCTAACTGTGAAGGTGCCTGGGGGCTGTATTCATCTGGTATGGCTCACTATTGCCTTCGTGCGCACCGGTGTGTCCCATCCCCTCTGAGAGACAGTGAGGGAACCACTCCACAGAACAGGACAGAGTCCCCGAGGAGGGCAGCAGCCGCCCTCCACAAGGCTTACGGGGAGGAGCGACCAGAGGCCTGGAGGGATTGGTTCAGGGCTGCCAGGGAAAAAGAACAACCTTCACTGAGTGCGCTTGCCTCAGTGGACCCAGAATGGCATCGAGGCCAGTAGTTCTTAGACGCTGAAATGGTTTAAAATCTGTAAAATCAGGTGCCTGGGTGGCTTAGTCGGTTAAGCCTCTGCCTTCGGCTCAGGTCATGATCCCCAGGTCCTGGGATCGAGTCCCGCATTGGGCTCCGCGCTCATCAGGGAGTCTGCTTGTCCCTCTCCCTCTGCCCCTCCCCCCTGCTCATGCTTTCTCTCAAATAAATAAATAAATAAATAAATAAATAAATAAATAAATATTCTTTAAAAAAAAATAAAATCTGTAAAATCTCAGGGACCAATGCAGTTGGCCAACTATTCATTTCACAAGTAAAAATATTTAAAACAAACAACTCCCCGCCCCAATATGCTCTTTTATCAACATTATTTCGTCCAAAAGACAGGGTATTTTTATCATCAAAAAACTAGGAAAGACCTACTATCATAATAAAAGAAAAGTCCTTTAAACTGAATATAATTTGTTTGTGGAAAAACTCCCGATGGGTCATTGTCTTATTTTGCTGTGGACCAGTAGAAACTTAACTTCGGGCTGTCACAGCCCATGCAGGGGCCCTTGGAAACCACATTTCTAGGTCCCGAGGATGTCTCGGGTAGAGAGATCTGGCCGTGCAGAGACGACTGATCTCTGAGTTACAAGAGAGGGCAGGGAGGTACTACATAGGAGTGAGGAAATCTCCTTCTGCCCACTGCCCTCCTACATAAACCTCTGGGGCCCAGGCAAATCCCACAGGCTCTGGAGAGCCTTCCCTCATGACCTCAGGTCAAAAAGCAATGGGTCCTTTCTCTCTCGCCTGCAACCTCATGAGGCAACTGGCTAATCCTGCTTCCTATTCTAGTCGGTTTGTTGGCCTGTTCTCCTCAAGTGGGTTGAAAGCTGCTTGAAAGCAGGGCTTGTTTCTTAATCAGCCCCGGGCACTGCCCCCATGCCTTGTACATAGAAAGTTCTTAGCCCTAGTCACTCAATAAAATCGACTTCATCATCTTCCTTTTTCATTTTTTTTCTTTTCCATCCTTCATTTCCGTCTTGCTCCCTTATTACCTCCCTGCCTTTTTTTCCTTCTCTATTCAGTGTCACCTTTTCCGTCTCCTTCCCGTTAGCACCCAGCTTTTGGTTCTCTGGAATTCTGTATACTACCACTCCCTCCATTCCTTTCTGCCACTTCAGATATGCGGAATAACGATAAATGAACTGTGACATTTGCCTTTTCCATCAACATAGAAGAGAAGAAAACAAAAACAGAAGAGAAGATTGCCGTCAGGCAACACGCTGCCCATCCCCACTGGAAAACCATGGCCTTTTTTCTGCCAAGGATGACCTTCAGGATCCAGCAAAACAAAAAACAAAAAACAAAAAACCCTTTTTCAGCATTCAGTACTTCCATTTTTCTCATGAAAAATTGAGAAAGCCTAGGCTTTGGGCTTCCCTAAATCTGTTCCTATCTCTGTTCTTCCTTTTTTGAATCCTCCGTATTTACCAGTTACTCCTGTTCCTTCCTTCCTTAGGACATTCCACCAGATACCATCCTCATCTCCTGGTCCCCAGACCCCATCTTTTGAGCCTCAAGTCTCTGTGACTCTGCAGACTCCTTTCTTGGGGGCCATGGGACCCATGCTTTGAGAAGTTGTGCAAAGAGGGGTTGGAAGTGCTTGTGTGAGCTGGGACATTTTCTGTGCATTCCCGTGTGGGAATGCTGAAGGTCTCAGAATCACCCACACTGTAGCCTTGGTGTGCTCTAAAATGAGCTCTATTTCTGGGCCTGTCAGATGAAATGCTGTTGCTCCCAGTTATTTTTGGCTCATTGCCCTTCTGAATAGGTGCCTATTCAGCTCAATTCTCCCCCGACCCTGAGCTGGGAAAAAGCAGGCAGCTTCCCTTAGCCAAGCCTCCTCTCAAGTCAGGAGCATCTGCCCCCTTAAGGAGCAGCTATCACAAGTGTCCTGGACTGCATCCTGGCTGTTTGTGCTGCCACCAGGCCTGGAAAGAGGGGAAGTCCACTCCCTGGCCCCCTCAGACCACTGGTGGAGAGCCTTGTGAGCCCAGAAGGTGCAGCCAGGTATCCAGAGCCTCCTCACTCATATATAGGTCTGCGCCCTGCCCCACTGGGCGTGGTTGCAAATACTACCTTGGGGGATCTGGGATGATAGGGGTATATTTTAGGCTCAGTGAGCACAGAAAAATCTGTATACCGAAGGTCTAAGCAAGGAAGGACCCTGGGATGCAGAAGGTCAAGGGCATGTGTCCATAGTTGGAAAGATCTCTTTGGGTGAGTGTGTTGAGAAGAACATGTGAGTGAAAAGGAGAGGTGGAGGGAAGTTGGGTGTGAATGTGCAGATCCGCTCGGGAGAGAGAGCTGGGAGGGATATCGACTAGGCACCTAGGGAGAGAGAGTGTAAATAATTGAAGAAAGAGAGTACCCAAGAGACCTTGGGCAACCGGGTGGTGTCTACAAGTCCTGAGAGTATTTTATAACTGCATCCTGCAGCTGACATCGCGACCCTTAGGCAGGCATTAACATTGACTGAGGGCTTTTAGTCTATCCGGTAATAAACAATATCAAGTAAAATGAAATGTCAAGATCAGCTGTATATGTATGGATACTTAGTAAGGTCCGTATAAAATTGAGAATAGCCTATAGACAAGAAGAAGCCAGACCAGGGTTCTCTTAATAGCTACTTATCTCTACAGCTTTTGGCTGGAGATTTCTTTCTTTCTTTCTTTCTTTTTTTTTAAGATTTTATTTATTTATTTATTTGTCAGAGAGAGAGAGAGAGAGAGAGAGCACAAGTGGGGGGCAGCTGGCAGAGAGAGAAGCAGGCTCCCCACTGATGAGGGGCTCCATCCCTGGATCCCAGGATCATGACCTGAGCCGAAGGCAGACGCTTAACCAACTGAGCCACCCAGGCGCCCCTGGGGGATTTCTTTTTAAAGTTCTTATCAAGTGTTGCTTTGAGGCATTAATTCATTCAATCCTCATGACAGGGGCAGAAGCAGCCTCATCCTACAGAAGAAGGAACGGAGTCCTTTGAAAGACCCCAGGTCCACAGTCATGAGGTGGCCAAGCCGGTTTGGTTTCAGGCAGCTTTGCTCAAGGACTCCAGCTTCCACCACTACACTCCCCTCCTCCTGTGACAACGGGTGGTGGAGAAGCAGCAGGTGTCCTGAGGTGTGTGTGGGGGGGTGCGGAGTCACACCTGGGTTTGAAGCTTAGGTGTCAGTCAGGGCCTCGTGGAGCTTGAGGACACACACGACTGTGTCAAAGCATCTGTCTAGGGCCATCCCACCACTTCCTAGCTATGTTATTTGGGGCAGGTCACAAATCCTTTTTGAACCTCAGTCTCCACCTCTGTTAAATTGGGGATAAAGTCACCAATCTGGCCATTGATGTGGCGTTAGGAAGGCCATCAAGGGAGCATGGGTGAGGGCACATGGCAGCTTGTCAAGCCCTAGACAAGAATAAAGTACTCTTTGTGTATTATTCACACTTGTCTACTTCCAAAAACGGCACACAAAGAAAGATTAATCCCTTATAAGGTTATGAAAAATAGAGGGGCGCCTGGGTGGCTCAGGAGGTTAAGCATCCGACTCTTGACTTTGACTCAGGTCATGATCTCAGGGTCGTGAGATTGCATCCTGCCTCAGGTTCCGTGCTCAGCGGGGAGTCTCCTTGAGATTCTTCTCTCTCTCCCTCTGCCCCCCAACCCATTCTCTCTCTCTCTCTCTAAAAAATAATAAATAAATCTTTTTTAAAATTATGAAAAATAGAAAAAGGTTTACAAATACCTGTGGTGGCATGCCTCCAAAGATGACCCCACCTGTGAAGCACATGTCCATAATAACCCTGGAGTGGGGAGGGGATTCCCCCACTATTTCTCCCAGGGAGGGGGAAGCCAGCTGCCCTGTCAGTTGTGACCACCAGCATGCTCTGAGAAAGTCCAAGCTGGCCCTGTGGCGGGAGAGAGATGCTCAGCTGGCCTCCAGCCATTCCGGCCATCATGTGGGCCAGACATGTGAATGAGCAAACCATCTTGAACATTTACCCCAGTCAAGCCTCTAGATGACTCCAACCCTGTCGCCGTCCGACTAAAACTGCTTGAGACTCCCCAAGCAAGACCCGCCCACCTGAGTCCCGTCAATTTGCTGAACCATGAAAGGTAAAAATAAATTGTTGTTTTGAACCACTAAGTTTAGGGGTAGTTTTTTGACCACAATGGGTAACTGAAACAGTGCCCTAGGCTAATATTACTTTTATAACTGAACGGTATTGTTAGCTTCAAGCTCCCTGGCATTCAAAGCAGAAAGGGGAGCAAGATGGATTGTGTGCCCTTCTTATTATCTTGAGTGTTATGATTTACCTGAATGGGTAGTTCATCCGACTCATCTCCTTTTGGTCAAATCAGAATGAAAATTAAACTATCTTCCTTACATGAGAATCTCTCCTGTCTTTACCAAAATTACAGTTGTGCAAATTCTATAATCTGCCTTGCTAGAACAAACCAAATATTACAGTTGTCACTAACGAGAAAGTGTTCTTGCATCTGGCCCAAATCTTTCAGACTGTAGCTCAAGCCCATTTTCTCTTGTTTGGTTCTCAGCGCATCTTCTGCCTCCTGCCTCATTCCCATCCCAAATTAAGTCACAAACGGGCTCAGTGTCTCCGGGGTCCTAAGCAGCCAAAATTAATGATTAAAATAGAAATGCTGAAAATAGTTGAAACTGAAGCAGATTGGATGATTTATTCAAACCTTCAGGAAAAATTACTATTCAGCCCAGAATTGGAAATTAGACTTGTGGTTCCTAAGAATGCAACACTTCCCTGGTGCTAACCCCCCAAAAGGGAAAGGAAAAAAAAAAAAACATGTAAAATACATACATGGCAGTCTGTCCTCTAGAACCCATGCTCTGGGAGGTCAGGAACCATATCTGCCTTCTGAATAGTGCAATGCTTAATGCCTTCCTGCTGCTTATTAAAGCTTTTCTTCATTAAGTGACCTTACAAGTCTATGATAATAAAAAACATACAGCTGACTATAAATCAGTGATTTCCATTCGCTCGATTGTGACCTCAGTGAACAGGCATTATCTGCCTGCTGGTCCTGTCCTGGGAAGACTGGGTTAGCACATGGGGTATTTGAGGTCACCTCCCTTACTTGGAACCCAGGCAACCCTAGGAAGGTAGTGAATTTCATCCTTGAGTCCTTGACCTCATTTTCTATACTCTTCCCCTCATTTGTCTTCACACCCCTAAACTGGACTTCCGAGTCCCCCTAGTGAACGGCTCTGTGGGTAGCCGAAAGGTTAGCAGAAAGGACCAGGCTCAAATCCCAGCTGAATTCCTTATCCCACCTTTGCATAAATGCTTTCCAATCCCCAAGACATTTCACATCCGTATTTCAGTTCATTGTCTCAACAATTTCTGTAGAATCCCGTGAAATAATCCTGTTATGGGCGGAATTGTGTTGTCTAAAAAGATATGTTGTGAGTCCTAACCCCTGGTGCCTGCAAACATTTATTTAGAAATAGGGTCTTTGCAGATGTAGTCAAGTGAAGATGAGATCATGGGGAGGGCCTTGATCCAATAGGACCAGTGTCCTTACAAGAAGATGGACATTTGCTCATAGACATGCGCTGAGGGATGACAATGTGAAGACACAGAAGGAAGAAGGCCATATGAAGACAGGGGCAGGGATTGGAGCTATGTTACCATAAGCCAAGGAGCACCTGGGGCTCCCAGAAGCTGGAAGAGGAAAGGAAGGATCTTTGTCTAGTGGCTTCAGAGGGAGCACGGCTTTGCCAGTGCCTTGATTTTGGACTTCTACCTTCCCGAACTGTGAAACAACAAATTACTGTTCCAGTTTGGGGCATGTCATTTCAACAGCCCTGGAAAACTAATATACAGGTGTTGTCATTTTCCCTATACTTTTTAATGCAATGTCATTAGGTACCTACTGCGTACCGGACTCTGAGCTGAGCTCTAGAACTCAGATCCAAAGGTCCAGGTTGATATAAAGCAAATCAAAGACCCTAGCCCTCTGATGAGTTTCTATGCTCATTCTCTTATGTCTCAGGCTCTCTCCCCCAACGTCCTCACGCCCAGAGACCATCCCCGTCCATCCCCACTGTCTGGTCTGTGCCCATCCCTGAACTGTCTGAGAGGTAGGCAATGCTGGGTCTGGAAGCAGCTTGGAGGGTCCGATCCGGCCCCTTGGTGTTCCAGCTGCTCCTCCTGAGGGGCAGAGGGGTCAGGCTACCAGTAGAAAGGCAACACCGAACTCCAACACATCTCCTCACTCCCTGACTCTGATTAATTCACGTTATGAATAAATTCAACAAACAACAAATGTTTGTTGAATGAACACTAAATTATTAATCACTGATAACGAGAATGTGTTCTACCTCCTGGGGGTATTTGGATGTGAAGCGATGCCTGAACCCAGGGACTCGAATTTCTGACCGTGGAATGTGGGACGGAAGGTTGGGGCAGGCAAAGCTGGACAGGGAGATTTGGGGGCAAGGGTAGGGTCTTCCGCTGACCTGGTATCTCGGATCCTTAGAGCAACTTCAGTCTCTGCTCAGGATAGAACTGGCTACCTTGGAGAATTCTGGAGGGGGCTGAGGAAGAAATTGCTCTCCTCTGTACTTGGAGCGGTTGGTGAAGGGCTGTGACCAATGCCCTCTTGGATGAAGAAGGAAGCACTGGCCTCATCATATGCATGGACCACAACTGCTGTTTTAAACTCCAATGCTGCTGAACAATTCAGAAATAGATCCATTATAGGTCTGCTTTAGCCCCAGGGCTTTAACACAGGTCACTAGAAAATCCAAGATTGCACAGTAATTCAAACTCTTAAGAGGGAAAGGAAAAAAAAAATTCTCTTCAGCACTCCTGCCCCCAGAGCCCCTCCCTCCAGCGTAACAGGGAGCCCCTCTTCATTTCTGGGGTGCTCTGGAATAAATAGCTCTTATGTTGAACTTGAAATCTAATTTTTTCTCCAGCTATTAATTGAGAAGAGCAGCTCATTTTACCTCTTATGCTCTGAAGCAAGACTACAGTGTAAACAAACTGGGTCGGGTTTAGCAGGATGGACGTGAACTGTTCCCCAATTTCCCTTAATCGCTGGTAAAAGAACGACTTGGATTTGGACGTCAACATTCAATAAAGCAGTTATGTCCCTCCCTCAAACGCGATCTAAATTAGTCCGCTGTTCCCTCAAAGAGAGTCCAACGAGCCTCCAAATCGCGCTCTTCAATCGCAACCTCCTTGTTTTTGTGCTAGCCCTTGAGAAGAGTCGGGATGGTCGGAGGGATTTGATTTGATTTATATTGATTTCTAGAGTATCAGGGAATCTCTTGTTTCGCTTGAAACAGATCAGGGAAAAGGGGTTAGTAAACAAGGGTTTTCTTGATTACTGATCACCACACCGTGCTCAGCATTTTCATGAGCCTGGCTTCTCATTTTCACAGCGCGTTAGAATCATCGAATTCTTAATCTCGCCCTAGAGTTCGGAGGAGCTTATGACGCCCGTTGAAGTTAATGAAGGCTTTTACCTGTGGATCTGGCGCTACATCACTCTGATTGACAGCGTGTCCACAATATGGTAGGCACTGATAGAATGGACAGGGGGGGAAAGAATTAAACAGAAGGAAATTAAGAAGAAGAAGAAGGAGAAGACGCTGGAAACGAGGAGGGGCGAGAAACCAAAGGAAATTGGAACTTCAAAACACCTCGTTAGGAAAATGGGGCAGTTAAGGAAGAACTCACCAAGTAATCTGCTTAAACTTTAATTAATTATTCATTTATATATATTTATGTGGCACACTTTCTCTAGGGAACCCAATGTGCTTTGCAAACATATGAAATAATTAACTCTCTCAAATCTGAGTGAAGTGGAGAGGGAACAAAATTACTCCAGAAAAGGACCAGCGGATTGCTGAGTGATGAATGTGTCTCACTTTGAAGAGGCAATCCCATGTGATACCCACCAGTGACCACATAACAAAAGACATCTTCTGGGGGCTAAGATCCTTATGGTGATCTGTCCTAGCACCTTCCAGAGTAAGCAGCGTTTGCTAATCAGATAAATGATGATACATAGAGGGACAAACAGGCAGACACATAAAGTGAGGTGAATTATGTAGAAATCCAGTATATTTTGAGGAAGGGTGTTAGCAGGAGAAAGTCAAATGGAGTGCATTTAAAAAAAAAATACTGCCTTCAAGATAAAAATAAAAGTTAAGAAGTATCAGGGTGTCTTGCTGGCTCAGTTGGGAAAAGCATGCGACTCTTGATCGCAAGGCTGTGAGTTCAAGCCCCGCATTGGCTGGGGACCCCACTTAAAATAAAAATTAAAAAATAAAAGGAAGTACTTCAAATCAAGAACATCAAAAGTGGCACTAAATAAAATGAAATTGCAAAGACCAAATGCCAAACAATGAGCAATAACATTTGGTAAGTTGTGTTTAAACGGATTCTGATTTTATTTTCTGAAATTATATCCTCAGTGCATTGTTTGCATCGTTGACAGGACATTATTTAAAAAAAAAAATACCTTTAACACAAGTGGCTTAAACACCTTTCTGGAAAGTGGAAATGTATCTGCCAGATCAGTGGAGGGCAAAAACAAACAAAAAACTTAGGGAATTAGAAAAGAAAAACAAATCAGCAAGAAGTAAAAGCCGCAGCTGCTCAGAGGCAGTGAGCTTGGCTGTGGGGTGAGTGGGGCAGCCTCATACTCCCCAGGAGATTCCTGCCTTTGGGGGCCAAGCCCTCTCGGGCACTTACAGGAACAGACTTCTGTTCACTGCATCTTAAAACTAGTAAAGTGGACTCCACCCACGCAGGAGGACAGACCTGGTCCTTGGAGAAGCCATGTTCATGTACATATGGCCAGGCGACCATCACCCGACAGCTAACGTGGAAATGCGGCCAACTGACCTATGGGAAGTTTCAGTGTGGGAGAGAGCCGTGGAAAAACAAGACAGGCCTTCTTACTTTTTTTTTAAATGGAAGATCGCCTTAGCCCAAGGCCACCGGCAGAAAATTAAGATAAAAAAGGGAAGGGTGGCGAGCCTAAGAAACTTTTTTTAGAAGCAAATAAAAACACTCTATTGATTCCAAACTCCACCTAGAACCCTGATGGCTTTCAATTTTTATTTTATTTTACCTTCTTTGTAAAGAGCATTTGTCTGCTTGCCTTCCTTCTCTCTCTCTTTCTTTCTTAAAGAGAAGCAACTTGGTGTGTGGGATAGAATTGGTTCTCCACCAGTTTGCAAATGAGGGCCTTTGAGCAAATTCCCCTGAGCCAGCTCGATCCATTGAAAATGATGACAGCCAGTCCCAGGATTGTCTTGAGGATTCAAGGAATGGTGGCCGGGGATGTGCTTTGCAAGCAACACAAATGTGAGGTTATTAGTATCAGTTTGGACAGGGAGGAAAGTCGTACGGTCCAAGGCACACACTTCTGAGTGTCAGGATTGAAAACTCACAGGCCTCTCCTCCCACCTCCTTCCATAAGACAAACATCCCATGCTGCTGCCACTGGAATGTTCCAAAATCATGCTCCAGTTTCAGGGATGTTGATCTCCCATTATTATTTGCTTTCCCCCTTGGACTAACCCCAGTCTATCTGGTTCATTTCAACATTAGTCAGGGATAGGTCTTTAGCTTTAATGTAAACGAACCAACATTTTCCTGCCTAATCCTCCTACTTGTGCAGCATAGACCACAAAACACGACCGGACACAAGACAAGCCCTCTCTTTGAATTGCTCCATGGGCTATAGATAAATTCTCCTTCCACAAGATAAGCAGGCAAGCTGCCTGGAGTGACTTCGGTCCAGAGCTTTCTGTTATTCACACCAACTAAATTCTTCTAACTCCATTCACATTTTCAGCAGATTGCCTATACCTTCTAAGCTAAAATACCAAAAGCCTTTTCAAATTGTGTAAGCCATGGTATTAGCAATGTTTTAGGCAGTATTTTATTATTATTATTCATACTGTGAAATCTGTTCAGTGATATTTGCTGTATCTATAACATACATACATGTATAGTTTGAATCTGTTCTATATATTACATATACAGAGCAATGACATATATTAGAGGCAAGCTTAAACTTATTTTGTATATATAATAAGTTTACATAATTCATCTATTTTTTATGTACACAAAATAAGTTGAAACTGTGTAGGTCTAATCTCAACTCACCAGATTTAAATTTAGGGTAGTTAACAGGTACTTCCGTGACATTTCTAAATCCTGCATCTCCAATTATATAAAAGAAACATCTGCCTACCTAACCAATTTAACAAAAAGAAAATAGGCAAAATACCGACAAAGCCTGGCAGCCTCGGAAGTGAGAAGTAACACTCTTCAAATGATAACACCGGGTCCCCCAACTGTGATCTCATTAAACTTCACAACACTCGGACAAGGGATTCAGTCACTGCTTTTATTTTTATTTTCAGAGAAAGGACAGTGGAGATCCTAGGAGATTTAGCCAATTTTCAAGGTCACTCACACACAGCATGGTAAAGAGGCTGCAAGCCAAGCACCTTCAGTCAGCTGGGCGACAGGAGCCCAGCTAGTCAGTGGTGACTGTCCCCGCAGAGGATGGGGGCATCGGACCCCTGTCAGAGACTTCACCCTCTTGGGAAATTTTACACAGCTTTTCTAATTCCTCCAGAGTCCGGTTAAGCATTCGAATGATTGTATGAGAGCTTTTAATACCTTCCCATCTCCCCACCAAAACTGAGCTGGAGAGAAATGTTTAAGGTCTCAAGAGCACAGAGATTGAACAACCAGTTCCTTTTTTTTTTTAAATTATTCCTCTGCAAAGGAATGGGAAAGCCGTTTGTGCATTTCAAACTTAAAATTTAAAAGTTGACTTGCAGAATCACAAGCTCAGCTCCCTTCAACGAACAGAAAAGGGTCTGTCCCTTCGTTGGGAGTTTTGAGGAAGGCTTGCGTGTGGTCATTTTCATATATATGCTATGTGTCTAACTAGTTTGAGAAGGAAAGCTGATTTTAGGTTGAAAGACCTTTAGCCATATTCTGTGTAATATTTTTTAAAATTTTATGTAAATCTTCAAATTGTTGGCAATGCTTATTGTTATTTCACAAAACCCTCTACACTAGGTGTATTCGTTATAACTCCTGTATTATAGTGGCTCAAAGTGGGGGGGGGTGACTTTGCTCCCCAGGGGACATTTGGCAATGACCGAAGACGTTTTTGGTTGTCGCACTGTGGGATAGGGTGGTGTGCTATTGCCGTCTAATGTGCAAAGGCTAGGGATGCCATTAAACATATAATACACGGGACAGTCCACCACAATAAAGAATGATCCAGGCCAAAATGTCAATAGCACCAAGGTTGAGAAATCCTGCTCCATGACAATCACAGTCAAAGTTCAGGACATAGTTACCTTTCCCTTTCCTTCCCCCTGCCCAGAATTCTGCCCCTCCAAGATTTATTGTTGCGTTAGAATGCTAGGCATTATAATAGCTTGAACCGAAAATAGTTTTTCAGATCTTTTGAATCTCTGAATGTTGAATACCTGGAGGATGAAAATGCTATTATGATGCATTTTATTATTAGCATTATAAATGGAGTCAAAAAGTTTATATTTTGAATTTATCTGTGTTTAATCTCGGTTGTAAATTGAAGCCCCAGCACACAGAGGCCACACGTCACCTTTCAGGGGAGAGATTATGCCAGTTGGTTGGGTGCCTTGTGTTCTATTAAAGTTGAAACCGGGCTTCCCTGTCAGGACCGTTACAGTTAAATACATTCAGATCTGCAAGCAGCAAGCACGAGCTTCCTGCCCAAATGGCTCATTGTGCTCGGAGGAGAGAGCAAATCCGGACCAGTGGAGCGTGTCCCTTTGCCATCCCTGAGCATCCTCCCTATTATCCACTCAGGCCTGGGAGACCAGCCTGCCTGACAGCTCACAGCTGTCGGGGGACACCTGTAACTGAGTCAAGCTGCTGACCAGGGACTGTGTAAAAGCAAGGATAAGAACTTCTAAAACCCTCTTCCTCATATGTCTGAGTCCCGCTGCCCACACTATGAAGTAGGATCTCTTCCTGTCCTCCACTTATCCTCCCCCATGTGTCAACTTTGCTTTTAAAGGCAAAGCTCCTTTAGGATCCACAAGGTCCTGCCCACACTCTTTGCTCACTCTACTCCTGCCACACTGACCTTTATTCTAATCCTCATGTAAGTCATACTCTCTCCCACCACAGGGCCTTTGCACAAGCTGTTCTCATTTCCTCAAGCTCCTCTCCCCTCCCCCCCACTCCACCTAGTTAACTCACCTGTTCATTTAACAGATATCAGCCCGGGCATCACTTCCTCAAGGACACTTCCCTGACCTCTCTAAGTCAAATCCCCTAAAACACATTTCCATCATACCATGTTCCTCCTTTAAAGTCTTCACACTGATGCAGCTTCACAATTACTTGAATAGTGTCTGTTAGGACACATCGCTTTTCCCTGAGCACCAAACACAACACTTGGCATATAGTAGGTACTGGGTATTTCTTGCCTGACCATCTAATTAAATAAATGAACAAGTGAATGAATGAACAAATGAACGAACGATGAATGAACGAATGAAACAATCCTAAGATCTAAAATCAAGAGCAGAACCATAGATATGAAACTGTACGTGTGGCATCTGGACTGTCAGCACTTGGTATTTAGCTTATTGAAAGGAGCAGAAGAGAAACCTTGCCTACGAAACATGCAAATGAAAAAAAAATTGTATACTTCACTTAGAGCGTCATTAAGTTAGAGAACAACTCCCACACTGCTCTAAGATGAAACCAACATCCAGATTCTCATGGCAAACTTAGCTTCCCTAGAATTCCTAGAATTTTCTTCTTCTCCCTTATCCCCCTGCTTCCTAAACGTGAAATATTCACAGCTGCGTCATTTCTTTACATTTTTCGGGTGAGGTCAACCTTCCTTCTCCAGTCGTATGTTGTGCAGTACCCAAGAGGCTAACATTACTGCTTGAGATATTTAAATATGACTTTGAGAAATGAGTCTGTCTTACATATAAAAGCCTATAGTCACCATGATGAACATGACTGCAATGTTTAAAATCCCTAAATAAAGAGATGCAGTACTTCCTCCATATTCATTGCTGAAATGAATATTATATATGATTCCTGATTTGGGAAGGATTCAAATAAGGCAGTCAAAGGGAATGTGGACTG